CCCCCACATCCTTCCAGCGCCCCTACTTGGGGGAAACGGGAGGAAATCCAGCTGCCTGGCATCGTTCCCCCACCTTGTTCTAGGACAAGATCCTCAGGCCTAGTCCTGGGGGGCTGGAACAATGTGTGTCGTGGGGGGAGGGGGGCGCTGAGAGCCAAACCCTGTGGATGATGGAACCACTTCAAGCCAGGGGGGCCACAGCCCCCCGAGTTCCAGCCCTAGGGCCCAATCGGGCCTCTGGGTTGTAGTCTCGGGCCGTGAGCATAGGTGCCTCTGCGCTGATCTGCAGGAGGGTCCTGAAGCGAGGGACTCGGGGCGGAGGTCGTATCCTGGACGGGTTAGAGACCAGCCTTCCGGCCACACAGCGCCCTGCCTCCGCGCTGGGCAGGTATGGGGGAGGGGAGTAATAGGATGGCAGAGCTGGTGCCCTCTCCCCAACCCCTCCATCCCTGGCTGTGAACAGGAGAATAACTCCCCGGTCCCCTTCGCCGCGCCCCGCTGAGCCCGCAGCCCTTTGGTCTGTTGTCCCCGGCCAGCGGCGCAGGGCTGCAGGGACAGCGGCGACAGGCGGGATTCAGCGCAGCCCGTGGGCACTCTAAAGGCGTCATTAAAGGACAAATGCCGGAGCGGGGCTGCAGGCTGCTCGCTGTGCCGGGGTCCCGGCTGGGGAGCGCTGGGGGCAGGCGGCCCGTCGGGGAGGGGGCCCCGCTTGGCGGGACGGGCAGCGGCCTGCCCAGGGATCTGTCCGCACGGCGCCCTCGGGGACACGCAGGGACCCTGGGGCCTGGGCGCCTGGCACCGACTGACCCGCTCCGCCCTAGCTAGTCACATGCTGGATCCTGGCCCTTTCCGCCTGCCCTGCCCTGAGCTCTGCGGGCTCGCTCCCGGCCGCCGGCTTGCTCCCCCGCTTTCCCTACACACTGTGGGGGAACCTGGGCTTGGCCCCTCAGCCATGGGCCCGAGCCTGCACCTCTCCCGTTGAAGGCAAGGGCACGGCCCCCCTGGGTCCATTTCAGCATCCCCGGGGCGGCCACGAGGCGCTCAGCAGGGCAACCTGGAGGTTTGGCTTTTAGCAGCGTGCGAGGAGCGGAGAGGTTTGGGGGGTCCCCTCCCCAGCGAGCGGGAGAACCCACGTTTAAGGACCCCCCCCGCGGGTTTGCTGGCGACCCGGTGCTAGAGCAGGGGCGCGGGCTGGCTGCAGCCTTCCCTTTGCATTCTGCCTGCGCTGGTAAAAAGCGCCGCGGCCCGGGCTCACACAAACGGTTTGTGGCTTTGCAAACATCTGGGGTTTTGTATCTGGGACCAGACCTAATTGTCTATTATAAAAACCTTTTAAATGAGTGAGCTGGAGGAATTTCGACTGTGGAAGGCAATTTTGAAGCGAGGCGAATCCGGGAACGCCTCCATCCCCTCCGCCCGCTCTTTGCTGAGTTCCCACGTGCAGTCGGGGAAGGGGCTCCCGGAATAGTTATGGCTCTGAGGACAAAAGCCAGCCGAAGAGAGAGAAAGCGCCCCCCGCAGCACAGCGAGTGCACGGGCAGGAGCTAATGCAGCGCGCGAGAGGGGGAGAATTCCCTGGCTTTACAGAGGGCCCGGGACCCTGCCTGGGGCCGGGGAGCTGGAAACAACCTGGACCTCTCCTGGGACTCCTGCCTGTCGGGAATCCCACGTGCACCTGTGAGCGCGCGGGGCTGGCCTGGCCCTGCCATGCTTTAATGAAACATATGTTCGCTCATGTCTCCGCTTAGAGCGGAGAAATCGCGCCTCCGCGCTCTTTGAAGGGCTGCAAGCAGAAAATTGCTGCATTGTCCGGGCATTAGGGCCGCTAATCTAGCCTGGCCTCCCCGCGCCAAGCGTGAAACGCGGCCAGAAAGGAGGAATTGCTGGGCCTAGTTGAC